CTCTGCCCCTACACACACACACACACACCTATTCTCTGCCCCCTACACACACATACACACACACACACACCTATTCTATGCCCCCTACACACACACACACACACACACACACACGCACACGCACGCATGTTAACCCTAGAATTTAAATGGCAAGATCCATCTGCATGTCATAGTAAATTTCTCCTCAAACTGATGATGTTGTCAAGGCTTTAAGCAAATAAAGTACTAGTTAATGTGAAATTCAAAAACACAAGACAAAGCAACGGAACTCATTGCTTTTTTTCTATTCCGGTCTTCCCGCTGACAGAGGGTTGATAGAGAGGCTTCATCTCTATTTCAAGTGCTTTCTTCCTAGAAGACAGCCCAAACCTAGCCAACATCAGCATTCTTGTTCCCAAAGGCCACTGAACACTTCGAGGAACACACTTGGAGTCCTCCAAGGACACTGAGCCTGTTTGGACATGGTTTAAATGAAGCACCACAGAATTCTTTGACGTTTGGCGGAACCATTGCCTAGAGAAGCGTATAGACCTAGCTGCAGGGAATTTTTGAGAAACAAGAGCTTCACACTTGGATATTTTTGTTCCATACAGGTTTCTGTGATTGCAGTTGAGGGTCAGTGAAAGAGGAAGGCCCTCAATGAGACCCACTGACGCAGTGGCCGCTGGGGCAGAGCCAGGCATTCCTGTGCAGCTGTAGGTCTCGCTGCGAATCGGAACTGACGAGATGACACCTAATGGTGTTTTGTAGCAACCCTTGTATTGATGCTGCCAGTGATATCAAAGCTTTTGATCTCTGGTTATGAATGGGGGACCACAAACGTGCAGAAGTGTTGAAAGTGCTTTTGTCCTGTTTTGTGGAGAGATTTGCTATGTGGACACTGAAGAAGATACTTATCGCACTGGGAATTACTGAAAGGAGCGTGGTAACATAAAGCCTTTACTGATCATATTTTCTCTTTAAGCCAATCACTAGTAGAAAGAGTGTGAGAGAATAAGGCATGGAAACCAAGGGGCGAAGGTACGGCGTTCCATTACACACTTTGATCCAGCTCCATTGCTACACATCCAGTCTACTGGTTTTCTTACTTTGAACCTCTTTTCAACACTCTATATTCAGACTTCCAAATCATACTCTATTGATAATCTGGTAATGGTTACAAAGAATAGTTTAGTTGCCAAAGCCAGTGGAATTGCCAGCCATCCTATTCCGGTAGTATTTATCAATTTTGAGCACACATTTTGACATTTTCTCTTTTGCTTTCTTTAGCATTTAGTTTCTGACCAGTCAGTCAAATATTGAGTACCCTCCGGGAACTCTGTACTCTGTTACCTCAAAAGAATAAAAAATTGTTATTTGAAGGTCATTCCAAGTGTACCACCCCACCACCCAGGAGCAAATACCTTGTAGTCCATTTCTGCTTCAATTTTAGACATGCACTTGTTACTCACCTCCTTCATTCCCAATATATGGTTACTTAAAAGCTATCCACCATGTTGAAGTTGGTGTGTATTATTCCCAAATACATTGGTACATTAAAAAAAAAAAAAAGGTCTTAGACACCCACAGGGGCAGTTCTATCCTGTCCTATAAGGGTGCCCAAGTTGGCACTGACTGGATGGCAGTGAGAAGTTTCCACCATGTTTGTTTTACTGTAGTTTGTGTGCTGTTGTGATGCTGAAAATGCCACTGTTCATTTCAAATATGAGCAGAATTACCCAAAGTGAACAGTTTTCCAACAGTGTCCAGACTAAGAACCACAAAAAAGGAATAAGCTTTCCATTTCAGAAGAGTCAGCCACTGAAAAATACGGATAGTATCCAAATATTGTCAGTTACTGAAAACCTACTGAATCGAAGCAGAACATTTTCGGAGATAGTGTCAGATAAGGAGTCCCTCAGGTTGAAACAGCTGCAAACATCAATTACTAATTGGAACTTAAAATGTACAAAGTATGACTCAAGGAAAAGTACAAGTCATTAAAAGTGATGTGAAACATGTAAAATCAATATTCTAGGCATTCATGAGCTGAAATGAACTGGTATTGGTCATTTTGAAGCAGAAAATCATATGGTTTATTATGTCAGCAATGATACAATCAAGAGAAATGGCGTTGCATTTACCGAAAAGAATTCATCAAATATCACAAATGCTGTGATATAATAACTATCCCCATATAAGGAAATCAAATCAATACAACTATTATTCACGACTATGCAGCACTAAAGCTAGTGATGCAGAAAATTTAAAATTCTACCAACACTTCAGTCAGAAATTGACCAAACATGCAATCAAGATCCATTGATAATTATTGGTGATTGAAATGCAAAAGTTGGAGACAAAAGAAGTAGGAACAGCACTTGGAAAATATGGTTTTGGTAAAAATTAAGCTGGTGATTAAATGATAGAATTTTGCAAGTCCAATGACTCCTTTATGGCAAATACCATTTTTTCTTTTTTTTCTCTTGCAAATAATTTTTCAACATCATATATGGCACCTATCCAGGTGGACTCCAAATGGAATATATAAAAATCAAATTGAAACAAGTGATCTAAAAACAATGGCGAGGAGGGTGTAAACGTCAGGTGGGGTTTGATCAACTGCAGTGTAGCTGGGAAGAATTACTGAAAGCTGAATGAAGGTCGAACTTGATAGTGGGACAAAAGGAAAGTAAAAGGAAATAGAGGAAAGAACTAGGAGGCAAAGGACATTTCTAGAGATCTAAATACATGAATTTGCATATGTAAATATTTACATATAAGGATTGAAACATAGATTTATGTACATATAATTATATGTTGAGTAGTAAGGTAGCAGACAGATATTGGGCCTCTACTCAAGTGCTCCCTCAACACAAGAACACTTTGTTCTAATAACCTGGCATTCTGTGATGATCACTTCATGACAGGATCGCTGAAGACAAAATGGGTGCATAATCAAATGTGGTAAAGAAAGCTGATGGTGCCTAGCTAGTAAAAGATAAAGCGTCTGGGGTCTTAAAGGCTTGAAGATAGGCAGCCATCTACCGAGGAAGCAACAAAGCCCACAATGGAAACAGCACACCAGCTTGTGTGATCATGAGGTGTCGATGAGATCAGGTATCAAACAGCCAAAGCAAAAATTTAAAAACTCATATCAATGCAAATGAGGGGGAGGAGGGCAAAGTGGAGACCCAAAGCCCATCTGTAGTCAATTGGACATCCCCTCACAGAAGGGTAACAAGGAAGGGACAAGCCAGCCAGGGTGCAGTATGGCACTGATGAAACACATTCCTCTAGTTCTTTAATGCTTCCTCCCCCCATTATCATGATCCCAGTTCTACCTTACAAATCCGGCTAGATGACAACATATACACTGGTGCAGGTAAGAGCTCTCGGTACACGGAATCCAGGACAGATAAATAAACCCCTTAGGAACAATAATGGGACAGCAATACCATGTGGGTAGGGGGAAGGTGGGGGTGGAAAGTGGAACTGATTGTAATGATTGACAGATAACCACTCCCAAACCCAGGGTGACAAATGCTCGGTCTTTGGAGGAGGCGGACGGATGCAGAGAGAAAGGAGAGGAAAAAACGTGGGGCACCAACTCTCAGTAACAGAAGATTTGTATAATGGTGCAACAAGAAAGCTGGCCCTGCAAAAGAATGTGGTTTGTGACAAATGTGAAGGCCGAGGCGGTAAGAAAGGAGCCGTAGAGTGCTGTCCTAACTGCCGTGGTACTGGGATGCAGATACGAATCCATCAGATAGGGCCTGGAATGGTGCAGCAAATTCAGTCTGTGTGCATGGAGTGCCAGGGCCATGGGGAACGGATCAGCCCTAAAGACAGATGTAAAAGTTGCAATGGAAGGAAGATCGTTCGTGAGAAGATTCTAGAAGTTCATATTGACAAAGGCATGAAAGACGGCCAGAAGATCACATTCCATGGTGAAGGAGACCAAGAGCCTGGACTGGAGCCAGGAGATATTATTATTGTTTTAGATCAGAAGGACCATGCCGTTTTTACCAGGCGAGGAGACCGTTTCATGTGTGTGGACATACAGCTGGTTGAAGCGCTGTGTGGCTTCCAAAAGCCAATATCTACTCTTGACAAACAAACCATAGTCATCACTTCTCATGCAGATCAGATTGTAAAGCATTAAATGTGTGCTAAATGAAGGCATGCCAATTTATCGCAGACCTTATGAAAAGGGGCGCCTAATCATTGAACTTAAGGTGAACTTCCCCGAGAATGGCTTTCTCTCTCCCGATAAACTCTCCCTGCTGGAAAAACTCCTGCCTGAGCGGAAGGAAGTAGAAGAGACTGATGAAATGGATCAAGTGGAACTGCTGGACTTTGATCCCAACCAGGAAAGACGGCGCCATTACAATGGAGAAGCATATGAGGATGATGACCACCCCCCAGAGGTGGGGTCCAGTGTCAGACCTCTTAATGGGGGCCAGTGAATATCGCTCACCGCTGGCATTTTATATGCAGTAGTGAATAAGTGAAGGACTGTAATCATAATATGCTCACTACTTGCTACGGTTTTGGTTTTAATATTCAACTATAGTTGATTGATGAGCAGGGCATCCCTCTGGTGGAGAGCTATTCCTTTGAGGCTCGCATGGAAGTTGATGCTGATGGAAACGGTGCCAAGATTTTTGCCTATGCCTTTGACCGGGGCTCCGGGTGGTTGCTGCACGAGCTCCTGTGGGAGCGGCACAGGGGTGGCGTTGCCCCTGGCTTCCAGGTGGTGCACCTCAACTCAGTGACTGTGGACAATCGGCTGGGCAACCTGCAGCTGGTACCCTGGGGCTGGCGGCCCAAGGCCGAGGAGCTCTCCAGCAAACAGAGGGAGCAGAGTCTGTACTGGCTGGCTATCCAGCAGCTCCCCACGGACCCCATTGAGGAACAGTTCCCGGTCCTGAATGTCACCCGCTACTACAACGCCAACGGGGATGTGGTGGAGGAGGAGAATTCTTGTTCCTACTATGAGTGCCACTACCCGCCCTGCACCATGATTGAGAAGCAGCTCCGAGAGTTCAACATCTGTGGGCGGTGCCAAGTGGCCCGCTACTGCGGCTCCCAGTGCCAGCAGGACTGGCCTGCCCACAAGAAGCATTGCCGTGAGAAGCGCCCCTGCCAGCAGGAGCTGGAGCCTGAGCGGTGACCGTGCGGCGCAGGCCCTGCCGCAGCCGGCCCCACGTGGCACGCTGGACACACTGATGGCTGGACCAGGAGATGCGTGCAGCCCGATGCAGTGCCCATGGCCACAGAGATCTCGCACAGACACCTCCAGCACTGCTCAGGTGGAGCCAGCAGAGGCCACCAGGATGTTCCCATTATTTATATGTTAATATGTTTGTAAACTCATGTACAGTTTTTTGGGGGGGAGGTGGTGGGAGGGTTAGAAATCACAAATAGAACCGTCTGTTGTGATCCTGAAAAAAAAATAAAAAGGGAGGAGACAGCAGATGGTGTAAGATATGAAAATAATAATTTGTGATTTTTCAAAGGTTCATGAGGGTGGGTGGGAAAAAATGAAGAGCTGATACCAAGGGCTAAGTAGAAAGAAAATGTTTGAAAAGGATGATGGTAACATATGGACATATGTGCTTTACACAATGGATGTATGGATTGTTATAAGAGCCCCCAATAAAATGATTCTTAAAAAAAATCAAATTGACTACATCTCTGAGAAGAGACAATGGAGTTCAGTATCAGCAGCTAACACCAGGCTAGTGGCTGACTGAAGGATAGACTACCAATTGCTCACATATACATTCCGGTTGAAGTTGAATTAAATTAAAACCAGTCAACATGAGTCAAAATATGCTGTGGAGTAGATCCCACTTGAGTTTTGAGCACATCAAGAATATATTTGGTGTTTTTTTTTTTCAAGAATATATTTGATGCATCAAATACTACGTAAGAGTTGATGAGCTGTGGGATGACACCAAGAACATCATACATGAAGAAAGCAAATGATCTTTAAAGACAGGAAAGTAAAGATCAAAGTGGATGCCAGAAGAGCCTCTCACACTTGCTCTTATTCAGAGGACCGAAGGCAAATGGAAGAAATTATGCCAAAGAGCTGAACAGAACATTTCCTTTTTTTTTAACAGAACATTTCAAAAGGCAGTTTAAGAACAGAGTAAAATAGTATAATGAAATCTGCAGATGTAGAGTTAGAAAACCAAAAAGGAAGATGCATAGCATATCTGAAACTGAAAGAACTCAAGAAAAAATTCAAGCCTCGGGTTGCAATATTGAAAGATTCCATGGGCAAAATCCTCAGGTACAGGAAGCATCAAAAGAAGCTGGAAAGGACAGGACCACTGTACAAAAGATGTAAGTGACATTCGACCATCTCAAGAGGTAGCCTATGATCAAGAACCAGCAGTGCTGAAGGAAGACGTCCAAGCTGCACTGACAGCACTTGCCAAAAAGCAAGGCTCCAGGAATTGATGGAATACCAATCGAAACGCTTCAGCGAGCTGAAGCACTGGAAGCACTCATTCATCTATGCAAAGAAATTTGTAGACGGCTAGCTACCTGGCTAATTGACTGGAAGTGATCCATATGCATTCCAAAGAAAGGTGACCCACAGAATGCTCAAAATGTAGACTAGCATCATTGGTAACATATGCAAATAAAATTGTGCTGAAGATCATCCTACAATTGTAGCAGTACATTGTTAGGGAGCTGCCAGAGGCTCAGGCTCGATTCAAAAAAGGACATGGAACAGGGGACATCATTGCTGTTGTCAGATGAATCTTGGCTGAAAGCAGGATACCAGAAAGCAGTTTACTTGTGCTCCACTGCACACAAAGGCATTTGGCTGTGGGGATCATAAACTATGGACAGCTCCAGAACCCTTCCTCGTGCTCCTCGGGAACCTGTACATGGATTCAGACAGGTGTGCGAATAGAACAAGGGAAAATGGTGTGGCTTAAAATCAGCAATGGTGTGCATCAAGGCTGTATGCTCTCACCAAACTGATTCAATCCGTACGGAGAGCAAATAATCAAAAAAATGCTAGATTATATGAAGAATGGGGGATTATCATTGGAGCAAGGCTTACTAACCACCTGAGATATAGATGATACAACCTTGCTTGCTGAAAGTGAGGCGCACTTGAAGTATTTGCTGATGAAGATCAAAGATTGCAGTCTTCAATATGGATTAAGACAACCTAAAAAACCCTTCCAACTGGACCAATAGGTAACATCATGATAAAGGGAGACACGGGTGAGGTTGTTAAAGGACCCATATAGAAGCAGCAGTCATGATCACATCAAACATTAGGTAAATCTGCTACACAAGACCTCTTTAGAGTGTTGAAAAATATTAAGAATTTACTTTTCATTTAAAAAAAATAAAAGAATTTACTTTTTGGACTAGGGTCCACATGGTAATGCATTTCAAAGTGCCATTGAATAAGGAAGACCAGAGGAAAATTGTTGCATTTGGACTATGGTGTTGGTGAGGAATACTAAAAACAGCAAAAGAACAAGATTTGTTTTGAAGGCAGTGAAGCCAGACTGCTCCTTAGAGGCAAGGACGAGACTGGGTTAGCCATACTTTGGACAAATGACCAGCAAGAACCAGTCCTGGAAGACATCATGCTTTGTAGAGAGGTAGAGATTTTTAGGTTTTGCATTTGTATCTTGTATTCATCTATCTAAACTTAAAGAATTAATACTGGAGCCCATTTAAAGCCCTCCCTCCCCACCCCAAACTTTTCCTTTCTCTTCAGTTTGATAGAATCATAGCAAAGAATGGCTAGTCTTAAAAAACAAAACAAAAACCAAGCCTACAATTTACGTCCCCCTCCCCCCTCCCCCCAAAAAACTACCAAACCCACTGCCATTGACTTCTAGCTCCCAAACAGGCCAAATAGAACTGCTACTTAGGATCCCTGAAATCACATTGTTGTGTCCCACCTTTCAGTTAGAATCCCTGTGACGTGTCTGGGGTTTTATTTTATTTTTTATTTTTTAAACATTTTATTAGGGGCTCATACAACTGTTATCCCAATCCATACACACATCAATTGTGTAAAGCGTATTTGTACAT